AAGTAAGACAATTTGTTGAGATAAATGATATTGGACCAGTACGAAGAAGTCATATAAAATTAAAGAATATGTCATCTTATTATTCAAGGAAGGTTTTCTTAATTATCATAGGTTCCGGGGTGGCAAAAAAATATTTTTGATACCAAATTTCGAGCAATTTTAGTTCTTAAAGTAAGTTCTTTACGCAACTCAAAAATTTACAAAAAACAAAAAATATTTTAAAAATGCATCCAAAATTTCCTTTTTCCACTCATAAAAGCAAAATCTGCGCAAAGTTCAATTCAAACAAAGCTTCAACACGCGCTGAATATTAATTTAGAAAATCGATATTTTCGTTTCAATATCGAGTGCTTGGTGACCAATATGAATGCACTCACTGTGAAAAAAAAGAAAAAAATGAAAAAACAACTGAAAAATTATCCACGAAACTGAATGCTTCACATGGTTGCTCAAATTTCGGCTGGGAATATTTTTTACCCGGGTATGAGTGCAAGCAACCCCGCTGACGACGGTGAATGTCAAAGAAATATTGTTGGAGCTGCGAAAGTAAAAGCTTTGCCAGCGTTAACAAAAATAATAACGACAGCAAGTGCATTAAAGTGCTGCAGCATAGAGGAATATATAACAGAAACAAGAAAAAACAACAACAAAAAATCGGCAAAAGCATTCAGAAACCAGCTGTGTGGAGAGCTATGGAACTGCGGGCGGCGAATATTTATTTGTCACATGTAAGCGAGCACATCCATCTGTATGTACATGTTTGTATGCTGGGCTGCGTGTCGCTTTATTTGCGCATATTTGTCGAATTTCAACCCTCTCAATTTCCCAATGATGACTCCACTTCACTTTGGACGCTTTCACCGACCACGCAGATACAGCCACACGCGCACACCCACACATGGTTACATACGTTGCTATTGATTCTTGTTGTTATCATTGCATTCGCATGCCATTTTTCCCAGCATATCCTGATTCGCATCTGCCTCGTTGCTGCCATGTTGTTTATATGGCGGTTTCCGTTTCCTTGTTTGCTCTTGCGTGACTGTCGCTCGCCGCAATGTGCGCTGTGCTTCAATTCTGCTGCAAATCGTGTGTGTGTGTGTGTGTGTGTGGTCACATTTTTGTTTGTCCAAATGCGCCTGTTTCGGCTGTCGGGCTGTCTACTTTATTTGTCTACATTTATGCCCGCGAGGGTGGCTGGACGTCTGTGCGTTCAATTTTGTTTAGTCGAAAGGTGAAAGTTTCCTTTTTGGATAATTCAAAGGAAAATTCCACTTTTCGTCTGCGTTGCTAACTTCGTCGTCATTATATATTTATATTTGTAATGCATTTACTATTAGCGCTTTCATTGTGTGTCTGTTTATATGCACGGCTGTTTAGAGTGACGTTATAGTTTCCTGTCTAAATGCTATAAAGCATTATAAATGTGAATTTCCTTGACTTGGTGTTTGCCTTGTTTAGCCAATATTCTTTGGAGCACTAACCAATAGTTTACAAACTGCGTGCAGAGAGCGCAATAAAAATCTATGGCGTGTGACTAATATCCTTCACAGCACATTAACTAAAATTGAATTTATGGCTACACTAACATATTTAAAAGAGACTAAGTATTGAATAAATTTGTTTATCAATTTACATACATAAATTATTATAAATTCTAAATACATTTATTTACGAAGAGAATTTGGTAATTTTACCTATAGGGTACATTCACTTGCAGATCGATAACAATATCGATATAAGAAGCGATTTCAAAAATCATAGACCAAAACAAAAAAAAATTAAGGAAAATCGTTCGCCCTTGAAAGCGTTTCGTTTGATACTTATTTTATAACATTTTATTAAACTTAAATTTAAAAAAATATGGCAACTCTGTTAAAAATTTGTACAAATCTAAAACAATTATTTTACTTTTCGGAAAGGTTACTTTTACCAGAAAAACACCTTGTGAAATTCTTTGATAAATTGTGCTATTTTAACAGGTGGCAGCAATGTAAATTTTTTTTTAAAGAAAAGTATTCGTTTTCAAAACTGTATCATTTGATACATGTTTGATAATAATTTAATGAACGTTTTTTTTTAATCTGGCAACTCTTTAATAAAATGTATACAAAGTTAAAATACCTTTTTTACTCTTCGGAAGAATTACTTTTACCAGAAAAATACTTTGTGCAATAATTGTTTTGTTGAACAATTTTAATAGGTGGCAGCACTGTTTAAAAAGAAAATTTTAGAAAAGCATTAATTTTGAACAACGTTTCGTTTGATACACATTTATTAAATATTTTAATAACTGGAATTTTTTTTAAAAGTGGCAACTCTATAACAAAATGTGTAAGAATTTCAAATACTTATATTAGTCTCCGTAATGCTCACTTTTACTATGTAGAACAAAATGTTAAATTATAATTTATTAAGTGTTTTTTTTTTTTTTTTTTTTTTTTTTTTTTTTTTTTTTTTTTTTTTTTTTTTTTTTTTTTTTTTTTTTTTTTTTTTTTTTTTTTTTTGAATAGGTGGGAGTACTGTGTATAAATTTGTACAAACTGAAGATACTTCGCATACAGCTTATTTAATTGAATAAACGGCAACTCCATTCGAAAGAATGTTAACAAATAATATTTTTGAAATTCGCAAATATATTGATGTTTAAAATTTTTTGACAGCTTCCAATAAGCTTAAGGTAAAATTTTTTTGGCACAAATTTTGTATTCATTTAATAGATGTAATTATTCTGCGGATGGCAACTTTGTTCGAATTTCTAAAATAAAAGCCGTTCACGAATACCTTCCGAAATATCTTTTTAAATACGTTAAAACTACATTTTATAAGTTCAGATTTACGATTATGAATATCTGGCAACTCTGTTGAGTTCTATAAACTGAATACTCATAAAATCCTTAGTATTTTCTGAAAAGATTTAACAAGTATAAGTCAATTAGGTAAGACTCAGCTTAGTTTTTAGAATTAATCTAACTTCAAGAGTAACAGAGATAGAGATTGGCAAGTTTTACCGTTATTTTTTCGGTCTAGATAGAAGTGACCAAGAATTACAAAAACGAAATTGAACGTTATACGCTACCTGGATTTCTTTTTGTTTCTAAATACACATGTTGCCTCCACTCATTCTATGGCTTATATCGTCACGACGATCCAACCTTGTTTCTATCGCTCGTGTCTAACTTCTCCCTAGATAACAAAAAAATTAATTTTGTTCATCTAATTAGCTAATTCGTTGAAAGTTCCGATAATGCTGATATCACTTTTATCGATTAAGTATTAAATTCTTATAAACTAAGAAGGTTGCTTTCCGACTAAAAATGTTTATGTAAATAAATGAAGAAATCAAATAAAGATGTATCTTTGGAAAATAGAAATCGAAAACTGGTTACTTCGATTATAGGTATTTTTTTATCACATAGCTAAAACAGCAAATACTTAAATGAGTCGCTTGAAGAGGGTGAGCAGGAAGCGGGAAACAATGACGTACCGGTAAATGGAATAGTCACAATACATCCGCACATGCTTGAGATACAACTAGACAGCAGTATATAGTATGCCTTGCGGTTCCTTTCATATGCAAATCTCGAAGAGGACATTGTCTTCGGCAAACATTACGTAAAACATGACTCATATAGAATAGTATATCCACTTGTGTATACTAAATATATATGTACAATACTTTCTTTCTAAATTATTGTATTTTTCTTGGAGAATTAAATATTTATTTACACAGCAAGTGCGATGAGCATCACCAGCCTGATCCCGCCTTGGGGATTGTAGTATGCCTTCGGAGGGTGCTAAACAAACATATGGTCAGTATTTGTTGGGAAAATAGCCGCACATATTCTACAAAGTCATGCGAAGTTGTGGGCAGCCTGCACACAAAGTGTGCCATAACAGTTATGCTTATAAGGGAAGTTGTTGTAGAATTGTTGTAGGCAAACATATTGATTTTGCACTCTCGTTACTATTCAAGGCTGAGCAGCTGCCAGTGGCAGCAAATAATCGGCAAGAAATTGGGTACATTATGAAGAATGAAGACGCAATCTACCTTCGGCGGAGAATAATTAAAGGTGATTAACCTCTGTTGCTATAGTGATTACTCCCAAACATCGATTGCTAAGCATATTACAAATGTTGGCACTTTGAACATGGACTACTGGAGTTAGTGTTTCTAGCGAGATGAAGAATGGACAAGAATGAAATCGCTCGACAAGAATGAAATCAAAACAATTTCGGTGCGAAGTTTCAATTCTTCGAATGAAGAATTTTCGCAGCTGAGAAACAGAGACAATGAAAATTTAGTACCTTCAAGTTATTGGGGTCCAATACTAAATCCAAGTATGAATCTTCAAAATGTATGCAAGTGAGTTCGATTAGTGAGAAATTGATTGAGAGACTGAGACACACATTTGGATTCAAATCTGATAGAAAGTGCTTGTAAATTGAATTGAAATTATATATAGTACTCCACTCTGAAATTATAAAATAGGATTCTCCATTTTTTCACTTATTATAGAATAGCTGTAACTTTATTCGACTTCCCCGAATTTATTTATTTATTTTTTTTTGTTAAATGAATGCATGAATTAAAATCTCATCTTTCCAAAATTATTTGGTATGACACAATGTAATTGGTAACAGTGGAGCTATATGACTGCAAGGACCTCCACTGACAAAATAAGAAAATACTTTTTCGACTAACCTATGTATTGGTTATATCTGACAGCGAAAGCTTAAAATTTAATAGCACATATATTTAATATGAGGAAATGAGTCTTAAGCAAAAAGAAACAAAACTGCGATTTTTTTTGATGATTTTGTATTTTAGCTTATTAAGCAGCCTTGAATCTAAAAAATCTTTATTTTTGTTATAGAAGGAACTGAAATTTAACATGCAGAAGTCAGAACCAAGAATCGTATTGACCGATATTTTCGAAATATCTGACACACAGTGTATATATGTATGTTTTTAATAAAATTTAAAACAAACCACTTACCACATATCATTGAAATATCCTCAGCATGCAGTCACAATATTATCAATATTTCGCACGATGAGCAAAAATTCCAAAATACCAAATCCAAGTTAATCCACAAATGAAAGTTTTGCTATACAACACACTATCACCAACCACCACTATTTAAGACTCGTTATTTGTTGCCACAGTTGTTAATAAATAAATTAAGACACAGGCGTTCACAAAATATTTTGCTGAAATTAAAGAGAGAAAAATCCGCATTAGACCCATTTTATTAAATAGTATTTTTCTTGCTTTTATTACTCTATTATAAAGTCATTTATTCAGAGTCGATTATTTAGGCATAAATCTTCCTCAATTGAGACATAAAATGTCACATAGAAATGTAAATGAACTAAACGAATGAGCTATTTTAACTAAATGACCAGCATTTAAATAAGCAACTCGGAAAAAGCACTAAAAACAAATTAGTAAAAGCAACAATGTTTGTATGTATGAGAAATTGAGCATTCGCCGGCAGCGCGAGCATTGACTTTTGCACAGTTCAACCGAAGCTTACACACAAATATTTACACATTTATATATGAAAATAAATATATACTTTTACACTTTTTTATCAACTATTTTAAACGCTTTTAGCCAAGTTCAACGACGAAGCAATGATCAAAATAAAAGCAAAAACTTTTCTCCGCGCTTGATTACTTAAATTCCTCAGACTTTTCACAAAAAATTCATCATAAATCATTGAACTTTGTATTCGAAGTGAATGTCACAGGGAAATCAGGAAATTATATAAAATTGTGCTTTGCTGTCAGCCTCATACTATGCTCACGTTAATGACAGTCAATAAGCAGATGTGTAATGTGTCCAGTTCTTGTCATTAATTAAGTAATTGTAGTTGACTTCAGTTTTTAAACAACTGGCAGAAATCAATTTAATTACCATATTTAAACAGAAATGGAAAAGCAAGCAAAATTGGAGGAAGTTCAGAGCTCAAACTGAGAAGAACAGAGTAGTGCGAAATCGAACACAGCTACCTTTGAGATCTTCCGAAAAAAACCGAATATTTGTTTATTATTTCTTAAGTTTTTTATATTGACGCGTTTGGAAATGAAAAGTTTAGATGTAGAATACTATATACATAGTCAGAAAATAAATGTGCTGAGGTTATTTTAATTCTTAAACCCGGAAAATCTGAACATCTGGTTAATTCTTATCGACCAATTAGTCGTCTGGTAATTGTCACTAAGGCTTTTGAAGGAATATTTTTATGTAGGTTTTTGGCGGTGTTGGAAGACAAACAGCTTATTTTGAATCATCACTTTAGCGTCAAAAATTGCAAGGCACAATGGAGCAATGTAATAGGACAGAACACTTTATATTTGATGCTTTCGAAAATAATAAATACTGATCAGCTGTGTTTCTTGATATCCGACAAGAAGTTGACAAAGTCTGACATCTAGGCCTATTATTCAAATTAAAGGAAAAATTATCAATGCCTTATTATTTGCTGGTAGAATTCAGCTAATATTAAATTGGTGCAACCATACTGGCTGCTTCGGCCAAGATCCCACCCCGGTATAAAGAATAAGGCAATAGTTAGGACGCTCTGGACGTAGAGCATTCAAATCTGGGGTAGTGCATATTAAAATTTAAAAATAATTTAAACTTTTCAAAATAAAATTCTGGATAATATAGTGGGGGCTCTATGTGAGAAAAGCTGTGGTCGACCGGGATCTGCTAATGTTTACTGTAAAGGAAACAAACGAAGAGTTAACATACATTACTTTTTCAGTTTGGAGAATGATGAAAATATAATTTACAACGTTGAAGATTGAAAAGTTGCCATCAAAGATGTCAGATGTAATAGCCACCTCGAGATATTGGGAACAATTATTGAAAAAATGTCAGCTATACAAACCAATGTTTTTTCTATAACTACAACATTTTCCCAATAAAAGGTATCCACAATTTGAAAATTGAAAACGTTAATTTTTGGATATAGGTACTACCGAATTATTCACTAGTTATTGTATAATTTTTAAGAGAAAGAATCGGTCGAAGTAATGAAAATATTGATGCTCTTCAGGCAAATGTTGCAGAAGACCGCAGTTTGTCGATTCCAAGATGTTCTCAAGAATGAAAACTGTCTCAAACCACAATCTGCACCCGTATAAAATTGCGCACACTCAGGAACTAGAGCCATTTGACCATTTTAAACGTCGTGATTTTGCTAATTTTGCCTTGGAACAACGTGAAAACACTAACGATTTTTTAAGAAAATCATAATGATGAGGCTCACTTTCTTCTGAGTGGTGCGGTAAATAAACAAAACCGTCGATTCTGGCGCCAAGAAAACCCAAAAATATTTCATGAACACTCATTACATTCACCTAAATTGACAGTTTGGTGTAGTTTTTGGTTTAGTGGAATCATCGGTCCGTGCTTCTTTCAAAATGAAGTAGGTGACAGCGTTACTCTCAACTGCCTCCTCCATCCCCATCGTATATATCGTTGATAATCAACTTTTTATAGCGGCAATTGAAATAAGTTGACTTTCGTAATATCTGGTTCCAACAAGACGAAGCCACGTGCCACACAGCCGAATTATTGCCACAAAAGTTTGGAGATTCGATTATTTTAAGAAATTGTGACATTTAATGGCCTCCAAGAAGTTCTAATTTAACACCATTATACTACTTTTTGTGGAATCATTCACAATTCAAGTCTTTAGCAATAAACCAGTCTCTCTTCAAGCTTTATAACTCAATATTGAACATGATATTCATTGGTTGGCTTGGTTGAACAAGTTTTTAATTTGCGTTGCCCGTTTGAATATCGCCACATTACACATCTTTCGTCATGAAGCTTTGAAATTAAAATCAGAAACAAAACTTTTTATACCACATATATATCCGATAATACTACAAATTTCATCCTAACTTTGAACTATTTAATGTCCTAATTTATAAAGTTCCAATTTCCATCTGTATTTCAAAACTATTCGGATTTAAATTTATAATTCGCATATAGTGATACACTGAACCCTATACTTTGAACAGGTCATAACTATTAATAAAAAAGATCACCGTGACGAGCTGAATCCATTTAGCTATGTCCGTCTCTCTGTTCGTCTAAACTAGTCTTTCAGTTCTTGAGATATCTGTCTGAAATTTTGCATATGTCCGTTCCTCTCTAGGAAGCTGCTCATTTGTCCGAATCGCCGATATAGGATCACTATATCGTAGAGTTGTCATGCCAATTGTGCGAACGGAATCAAATGCTTTGGAAAACTTTTTAATTTGATTGGATACCATCATTTTTTATAGGTTATTCTATAATTCTATTATCTAAGGTTAACTGCTATAGCATATATGAATCTAAATGCCGGACTAATCAAACAAAAACAATATTAAGATCTTTTTATGTCTTTCATGCTATAAAAAATGAACATGTGATGGATGTTGTCGCTTCGGAGCTGCCGGTTAATGTTTTTTCATGTTTTTAATGAAAAATAGCTTCAGATGTTTTAGAAAAGTATTCTTTCTCATAATGTTGGCTTCGGTGTTATTATTATTACGGTTTTCTATTATCTTCAATCATCCAATTTCTTTATATTCCAATAAAATTTTTAATACTTTCGCTTAATAACAATATGAACCCGTATTGCACCAGATAACAAGTACTAAGTTAAGCAGAAGGTCTCAAACAGAACTCATTATAATCCAAAAGCGACTTCGATTTACTCTTTACACAGCAAAAGGCTGAGAATAAAAAAGAAGCGAGCAGAGGAGCGTTGTTAAAACTTATCTTGAAAGTTCAAGCAAGAAATTTGTTGCATAAAAATGCGGAAAAATCTGCTCGCGGCCATAAAAGTTGCCATTACAAGTGCTCGCATCAAATATGTAGCAGAGAGTGGCTGTGTGCATGTGTTAGGCCAAGAGAAGAGGGGTAGAAGGGCATGTAAGACCTTTAAGAATAACACGGCACACTGCTGCTAGAGGCAAACGTACAACAATTCAGCGGATAAGCTAAACTTAACGCGGATTCAGCCGCATTCTGGCTTAAAGTGAGACAACGCACACAACAATACGCACACACACATGCACAGGCAAAAGCAAAGAATGCGCGCAAAAACAGGTGGTGAGGCAGCAAAACGCACCGTGAAAATGATATGGAAATGCATGCAGATTAAAAAGCGCTAGAAAATCGAACAAAAACTGACGAAGGCTGAGTGCGAAAAACGAAAAGCGAAAAGGAAAAAAACTGCGCAAAGGAACAAGGTAAAACTACAAGTACAAGTTGTGGTAGCAGCACGGCGCAAAAAAAAAAAAAGAAGCAGAGCCATGCAGAATGCAAAGTCACCTGTGCAATTGCAACACGGGCTTGCCACTTGTCCATCAGCGCGAGCTGCGACAAGAAAAAAACGCCAAATGCAACAGCAACAACACTAAAAGCAATACGAGCTCAGCGAGTGGCGTGGAGTTGACTGCAGTGGCAGTGATATAGCGGCACTTCTTGGCTTCCCATTGCCAATGCACACAAATATATATGCAAGCAAATGTGCCTTTGTATGTGTGTGTGTTTTTTATGAACTATGTGGTCGCATATGGACTCCTGCAACGTCAAATGTGCCTGGAAAAAACACTGCCAAGCGACTACCAGTTCGTGGCGGCGACACAGGCAGCGCACAAAGCAGCACCAAGGCAATGAGCTGGTGTTGGCCACAATTGAAATAGTGGCAACAGCAAGTAGCTATGCCAGTAGTCGCCACAGTGGCACTAACTCCGAAACCGGTTAGGCAACTTCTTTGCTTTTTGCTATAAAAATTTATATATTTTTCTCACTTTATTTGCTTTTGTTCCACATGTTCCGTAGCTCGTCTTATTCGATATCTTTTATCTATTTTTTCGCTGCACCGCGCCGCTTGATGTACGTTAAGCGCTCGTATATCTTCGCTCGAGTAGGAATTGAACGAGTTTCGGACGGCAACAACAACAAAACGGGCAGTCAGCTATCAGCTATCGATGGCACATTCATTATCTACATGCAAAAGTATGAGTTGCTGTGTATGTGTATGTCAAGTGGCATACAAACGGCTCGCTTAGCGAAAGGAATTTATTTCGTGTGGCAGATAGCTTGAGGGCAGCTGCAATTTTGCAATTCACAATTCGCTTAATTTCTTTTATTTTTTTGCTAACTCGTGGCAATAGCAAATACCTACACATATACA